ACAACAAAACAAAACCTTTCATATACAGCTGATAGGGATGTAACTATTACAAACATTTTGCAAAATAGTAGGCAATATTTTCTAAAAATTAAAGTGTTATGATCTCTATGACTTGCCAGTTCCACTTCTATTGAAATGCAGGCACACATACCCTTGAATACACGTCCAAGAATGCTCATAGTAGCTGGATTCATTATAGCCCCAATAAGAGGAAGCATCCCAAGTTCCTGTTAACAGAAGAAAGGACACAGAAATAGTGTATATTTATGCAATATAATATTATTCATTAAAGAAAGTATAAAGTCTATAGCTGAATGGGATATCATGGACAAATTATATCAATGGTAAGCTGCAGAATCTATACTCACAAAAGAATACATACTGTATGATACCATCCTTATGAAGTTCAAAAGCTATGGTATTTAGGGTTGTATACTGGATAAGACATTAAAGAAAAGTGAGAAAAAAATTTCCACAAAAATTAGGAAAATGTTTCATTTAGGTGAGTGGTGGAATTGATTTGGAATGAAATTTTAACTATGTGGTAGGTAGGCAGGTTTGCTGTATAATGAATGATTTGTTAAGATTTGTTTTATGCACTTCTCTTTATGTGTTATATTTTTAAGAACAAAGTAAAAAACAGACTTGGTTAGGCTGTTCTCTGAAGGATAACAGTGAAACTTTTCCATCCATTATTGAATAGATCCCTTACTTCATAAACTCATTAGCCAGTATAAATATAGGCTTCTTCTCAGTGTATATTAAAGAGATACAGTTTAAAACCCAAGCAGTGGACCTTTCTTTTTTTTTTTAAACAAAATTCACATTTTATTTAGGTTGAAATAAACTATACAAAATTGATTTTCTTCACCAAAAATAACAGCAATATTTTCTGTATTATTCCTAGATAACCACAAAAGACTTATTTTTGTAGGTTTTCCACGTTTTGTTTATAAATCAAGACGAGGCAGTAGATATAGTCATGGAAAAAGACAGAGGAAAACAGACAAATCAGTTGTCAGTATCCATGGCCTCTGATCCTGTCTTGACCATGAACAGAGGTGTTCAACATACACCAGCAGTGGACCTTTCTAAGACATAATGTTCATCTGAAGAACTTTGAGTTTGGCCTAGTGATAAAAATGTTGTTGTCTCAATAAATGAATTAATGAATGGGAAAGTGGCCAAGTAAAACACAGAAGGAAGAGAAAGAAGAGAGTAGAATGTCTGATGAGTTGCTAATCCTTTGTTTATTTCAATCGGGATAATTGGAATTCCATGCTGTCTTCTTCAATTTTTCTATGTTTAGAAAAATAATTACAAAATTTCAAAAAGCATTCATTGGCAAAAAAAAGCCCTGACAACCCAAGTCACATGGCTGTCTACCTTACAAGCACTACCTTTTGAGGCAGTTCAGTTCTTTGGACAGCTTTTGATATTTCCATATTCTTTTTGACAAATAGCTGTGGTCTATCCTCAGATTTTCAACCAAAAGCAATTTTGAAGATAAAAGGAAAAATATCCTTATGATGAAAATGTATTTAGGAAAAGGTATAAGGCTTTTCTTTTAGCATTTAAAAAAAATAAGCCTTATAAATGTAAGGACCCTGAATAACTTGCTCATCATTGTGTGAGCAACGCAAAATATCAAATACTCAATAGAGCTGAATTCCAAATTCTTAACTTCAGTAGAAATATAGATTGTAGCATTGATATGTACCTTCCCATTATCCTAATATTTTAGTAAAATCCATAAGATTTAGTAGAGTGGCTTACCTGAGGGGAAGGGTAGTTTGTAATTAAACCCAGACACACATACATGTAAAGAGGTGGCAAGGCGCCAAATACATTCCTATAGGTTGAGGGGACGTCCTTCCTGCAGGAAAGTGCAGCCAGGGGTACAGAGGCTTCTGTCCTATTGCTCAATCAGATTGAATTCAAGACAGCAAATCCCCAACAGCGCACACACGTAAACACGTTCATATCCACCCCTTCCAAGCCAGTGTGCCATCTAACCCCATAATGCAATGAGTGGGGATCTAAATTAATGGGTGTTTTAATGATGACTGCTCATGAGGTTGGCCTGTTAGAGAAGAAGGACAGCTGTCAGTTTCTCTTTTCTTTCTTAGCACTAAATCAAGTGAACTTGGATTAAATTTCCAAAAAACAAACTTTCATGAAGTATTGAAAAGATTTTGCATATTATCCCTGTAAACTACATGTGTTTTAACATTAGAACCTGAGCTCTCCCTTTTAAAAAATAATAATATAAAAACTTTTCATTGGGAATTTATTTATAGCACAGTAGTCCGACAGCTCTTTTTACCAATATGTTCTGTTAATACATTCTATTATTAAAGTGATAGCCAGGAAGCTTCACATTATTGCCAGCCTCAGTGAAATTGAAACTATTCAAGAAAGTTTATTCTACTTTCAGAAAAATGTTTTCTTCTCTCTCTTTAGAGGCTAGTCAACAATAGAAGTTAATATCTGAGAAATTCTCACTAGACTACAGCCAAAAGCAGTTTCTAGGGTTTTGACTGTTTTTCCTTTTTAGTTTTTTACTTTAAGTAAATTCCCAGACAAACATAGATCAGCAGTCTATGTAGCAGTCCCCTCCCCACCCCTTGTCGATTCTGTTTCCCTGGTTTCAGTCACCTGCGGTCCTCTGGTCCCAAAGCAGATGTTTCTCCTTCTGAAGTATCCTCAGGTCCTTCTCAAGTGAATAGTAGCCTAGGGCTGTGTCACAATGCCTATGTTACCCCGCCTCACTTCATCTCATCATGTAGGCCTTTTATCATCACACATCATCAAGAGAAGGATGAGTACAGTATAGTAAGATATTTTGAAGAGGGGCCATAGTCACATAGCTTTGATTACAGGATATTGTTATAATTATTCTATTAGTATTGCTGCTAAATTCTGACTATGCCTAATATGTAAATTAAACATTATCATAGCTCTGTATTTGTAAGAAAACACATAGTATATATAGGGTTTGGTATGAACCATGGTTTCAGGCATTCACTGGGGATCTTGGAACATATCCCCCACACATCAGGGGTGATGGCTGTATGCAAGAAAAGACACTTTATGGGCTTACATGGGATGGGACTCTCATTATTGCCACAGGTAGGCCCCATCTGATATGTTGTTAGACTAAAATGGCAATGGCTGACCTAGTCTTAAAATATCTGTGATGGTTGCACTTTTGAATGAAAATAGGCACAGAAGACATTCTTGTGGTGGGAGGTGGTCCTCATGTCATTTTCTCAATACAGTTTTTAAAGCAGCAAAAACCCAGCTATATGCATTTAAGATTAGGTTGAAAAGGTCAGTCAGCACACAGAGGCTTTTCCCTGCCAAAGGTGAAAGCTACTGGAAGATCAATTTGAGTCATCAAATTGCCTCATTTTATCTGAATATTAGCTTAGGGGCAGGTTATGGTATTAGCTTATAAATGGGGCATAAAGCCTGTTGTGAAGCCAGAGAAATTCATTCTGTAGAGGAAATGCTAGGTAAGTAAAATGTTGACTCCTTGCCCATAGTATATATGTATTTTTAAAATTTTTAATCAATGTACTGACTAAACATTTTTCATGTGGCAATTTGTCAAAACTGCCTAAATGTGAAGACACTTACATCAGTAGAAATTATTTCTCTTTTATTTATTTTATCACTGCTATTACTACTTATTAAATGTCGGTCATTAAATCTCAAATGTTTGAAATTTTAGATAAAAAGAAATCTTATTTTTTTGGTGGTTATTTTCATGTATTTTGAACATGCGAATAGACATTTGAGATAAATGGTAAATATTCCATTTTTTTGCCTCAAAAACAGTAAAATGTATTATATATATGAATATAACAGTTTGAGTGATAAACAACAAAAATGATAATCAGTGTTTAGTAGGATGGCATATGTTTTGAGTTATTAAATTTCTATATATAGTATTAAATAAAAAGAAGTATTTTTGTCTCCATAATTAAAAAAAAAAAGAGTCAGACAGCCACTATGCGTGGCTTTTCAGTTTTCAAACATTTTGTTATAGAACATGGTTGTTTTCTTTGTCTCTCTGACTGCAGAGATGACTCAAGATATACCCATGCTGTGGCCCATGAATCCTTCCTTTTATCTTCAACTTAGACACACCTTCTCAGGAAGAGAAAAGGTTGAGGCAGAGGAGAGAGAGGGAGAATGTGCAAATGGAAATGTCCAGAAATTAAACAGGATTAAGTAGAACCAAAGAATGTGAACTGCTTACTTTCAATTTTTATACCTGGAGAATGGCAAAAATAGTGTTTGGAATACATTATTAAATTGAAAAAACTCAGAATTGTTTGCTTATGGAGGAATCCCTTTAATTATGAAGAAAGTACATAGTTTCTATATGATAGGTTTCTATTTGTTGGCTTCTATTTAGGAAAATCATCTTTTGGCACAAGGGGAGAAGCCTAGACATGGCAATAAAAAGAACTGCCTCTTTTGCATTGTTTGGAGTTCATCTAAGCATAAGGAGGAATATCAAAGACAGAATCTTTTTCCCAAAGTCATTCGCCTCTGCTGTAGGAGACTGCTGCCTTGTCATAACTCCTGGATATGTTTAGTGTTAGTGGATTTGCTACAACTTTCATAGAAATCATTCATTCATTCATTTATATATTTATTCATTTGTTAATTCATACAGCAATTATTAATTGAGCAGTCTGTGAGGCAAATATCCTATTCTCTGGAGATATACTGGTAAACAAGACAGACAAGGACCTTGCTCTTAGGTTGTTTATATTAGATGGGAGACAGACAGAATTCAGCTAAACAAACAAATGAACAAGCTACTTCAGATAGTGAAGAAAAAAGAGCTGCAAAGAGAGAGAGATTGCCTCATTGTTGTATATGTGTGTGTGGGGTGGGGGGAGGGAGAATGGTGACCTGGGAAAGCAGGTCTGAGGGTGATGCATAAAGTGAGTCATGAGTGACAAGTAGAAGCAAACCATGTATCGAACCTGGGAGCGGAGTGTTCTGGGCAGAGGGAGCCACAAGGTGAAGACCCCAGTAGAACAAGCTCGTTTTCTTTGAGGAACAGAGAGAAGGTTGGTGTGGTTGGAGAAGAGAGGGATCATAAAATGGAGTGCTGGGAGGCAGGGTTCAAAGGAAGGCATGGCCTTATCACCTATCATGTCAGAGGCTAGGCTTTATTTTATGTTATACATATACACTGTCTATTTTATGTTTTGTCATTTTAGCATCAACACAAACAATTGTAGTATGAAAAATCTGCTGTGTTGGTAGTTTCTTCTAGTCCGTGAAAAAATAATCCATTTAATCAATTTTTCTCTTACTGAATTGATTTAAAAATTATTGATCAGGTAGGGAAAGCCTTTGGTTTTGACTGATGCTGAAGAACAAGAAAAAAAGGAAGTATATGTCTATTTTAAAACTTAATGCAACACCACAAAGAAACCATAAGGCTAGGAGGTGGCTCTTCTTTAGCTCCATTGAACTTTAGGCGTGCCCTTTAGCCAAGTCACATGAGCCAAATAAAACATGAGGCTTAGCACACCTTGCACAAGAATATTGGAGAATCTATAACTTCAACATGTGTGATTCATATTCTCATGATGGAATTGCCATTAAACTTTGAGGCAAGTGAAATATGGACGAGCCCAAGAAAGCTCGAGTATGGACATGTCCTAAGAAAGCATGTTCTCACTAGTCATAGAGAAGTTCAGAGGAGGAGCTGAGGTCAGCCTACTATATGCTAATCAGTTAACAGCATAAGCCCAGAGCTGATCAGGGGACAGGTTTTTGGGGATTAAAAAAAAAGTACCTTATTTTTTATAAAATCTTATTATAAAATCTCTCTGACTACAAAGGTTTAGAGAGCAAGGTGTGATGACTTTATTTGAGGGTGATGTGAAATTTTATCTTCATTTTCCTCAAAGTAGATTATATTCCTCTTTTTTCTTTCTTGTTGACAATTTATGAAAAATCTAGGGAGTTTGTAGGGTTTAGTAAAAGGATGTATCTCACACTTTGAGAGAGGCAAAAGTAATCTTTTCCTAATAACCTTTTACTTGTTCCATTTAACTTTCCAAACACTTGATCAACAAATTTTAAGTGACAAGCTCCGTAGCTAAATCCACCTTCAATACTATTATGAAGCATTGCTCTGTAATGTGTGGGGCAGAGAGCGTTCTGAATTACAGTCCAACATGGCACACTGATGACCATGTTCCACATGAGACATTTTGGTGGATTCCCTATGGGAAGATGGTGAGGAATGGTGGCTAATATACAGGCCTAGCTATCTGTGTGAGCTCAGACAAATTCCCCAGACTTGCTGAGGAGCCTCTATTTTGACATTGGCAAAATGGTAATAGTATCTATCCAAAAGGTTCTGTAAATTTAAACTGGGTTATGTGTGCATGATGCCTGTAAATAGAAACTACTTGAAAAAGGGCAGCTGTTACTGCTATTCCATATGAACATAAGTAGTTGCCGATATTACTGACGAAAAATCTTGAGTTCTTTGGTAGAGAAAAATAGCTTTTTTCTTTCTGACCTCCTTTTCTTTATTCCTCTTTTTTTAAAAAAAGATTTTATTTATTTATTCATGAGAGACTCAGAGAGATAGGCAGAGACATAGGCAGAAGGAGAAGCAGGCTCCCCTATGGGGAGCCTGAAGTGAGACTCGATCCCAGGACCCCAGAATCATGACCTGAGCCAAAGGCAGACCCTCAACCACTGAGCCATCCAGGCATCCCTCCTTTTCTCTTTCTAAGGTGAAATCTCTCTGCTTCTGTATTCATTAAAAAATAATTTCACATTTTAAACGGGGAGCTTCAGGCACATCTAACTTCTCACTGTGTGGGCTTTCCAATGCAGTGCAAATCAGTCAAGACATTGCTTAAAGATTGATCATATAATTGACTAGTACTGTTTTATTACTTCTAAATTTGGAATCTCAAAGGCAGATATGATAATTAATACACATGGTTTTCAGAAGAATCACATAAACAATTTATTTTTAAAAATTTTATCTCACAGATAAAAGTGATTCAGAAGGATCTGGAAATACTTTTCTCTCAAGGCCTGGGGCTAATTTTCTCAGTCAGACACGTGAGAATCTTTCCCTTTTCATTTTGCAAGATTACAGCAGCTCTATATGCTAAACTTGTCTGATAAATAACCAGGTGAATCTATGATCCTAGGAAAAATGAGTGAATATCTGCCAAACATAATCCAATTTACAACAATGATTAAAAAGCATATGATAGAAGACATATGTCCATGGGCCTTGCCCTAAGGATAAAGTACAAATGTCCAACAGATCAAGCCTACCCTTCCAGTCTCATATTTCCAGCCCTGCTTTTTGTATATGTTCTTATCTGAGGTGTCTAGGATGGTTGGGTGCTATCCTCCAAGTGTGCTATGAAAGTTTCCACCTCCTTCTTTTATGGACAATGGAAAGGAGGGAGTTCAAGTCACCAGATTCTTAGTTTGTAGCAAGAAGTAGTCTGGGCTAGGGTGGAATCCGAACCCAGGAGGTCAATATGGCCTGAGACAGCAATGAGGGATATTTTAGGGGGGATGGTTTCAATTTCAATAGAGTTTGGGATTTTGATGAAGTCCAGAGGGTTCATGCAAAGGATTCCAAAGTAAGGCCTAGCCCTTGCTCCAGATATAGTACCTGCCAACTGGTAGGCACTCAAAAGATGTCTGTTAAGAGATTTGAGTATTCTTCTATGACCACTGTAGAACTCCTCCACTGCTATCACCCCAGTCTGAGCCATTTATCACATGCAGTCAGAGTTTTGAGATAGTTGCCTGATTGTCTTCCAATTTTCATCTTTGCTTCTCCTGAGTCTGCTCTTGCACTCCCCTGCTCAAAACTTCTAATTATTTCCCTTCTCACTAGGAGGAAAGTCCTCACAGTGATTCCCAAGGCCCTACATGATCTGTCCCTCGTTTTCTCTCTTTCCGTACAGGTTGACTTCCCCTCCACCTCAGCCACACTGGCCTTCATATTGTGCCTTGACTGTGTCATTCCTCCAACACACCATTCATACTCTAGCACAAGCACTTCTCTCAACCTGCATGATAGTCCCAAGATTCACATGATTTATTCCTTTGCTTCTATCAGGGCTTCGCTAAAATGTCTCTCCCTAAGAGGCCTTCCTGAACATCTTATCTAAAATTGCACTTTTCCAGCACACTCCTCTCTTCTGCTGCTGTTGTTCTCCATAGTAGTTTGCACTCTTTGACAGATATTTTAGTTTTTATTTGCTTGTGGTCTGCTTCCTTCAGTAGAGTGTAAGTTAGCTTTATGAGGGTGACCATTCTTGCTGTTTTGTTTGCTTTAGCATTAAAAATAGTTCCTGTGCATTGTAGGTCCTCCATCGATTTGGTTAATCAATGAATGAAGCTTTCACCATCCTTCCTCATCAAAGTGGTTTCTTTCTCTTTTATTTTCCCATGGCACCTTCTCTATTTTGTTGTGTATATCATATTCTGGCAGTATAGACTCAATCTGTGTATTGCTTATCTCTCCTTCTAGGATGGGGGCCCAGTTCTGAATATTGCATGTGCTTAATACATTCTTTTATGAATTGAATCTATGCTCTTGGAAACATAATATTATCTCTTTACTTTTTTTTTTCTGCTGGCCTACTGTTGTCTCACATTAAAAATCAATCACTTCTTGGGGCACCTGCATGGCTCAGTTGGTTGAGCATCTGCCTTTGGCTCAGGTCATGATTCCAGTGTCCTGGGATCAAGTCCCACATCAGGCTTCCTGTTCAGCAGGGAGTCTGCTTCTCCCTCTTTCCACTCATGCTCTCTGTCTCTTACAAATAAATAAATAAAATCTTAAAAAAATATCAACCACTTCTTATATACTAGTTGTATTCTGTTTATGTGAAAGCCCATCTAAAGAGAGAGTTATTAACATTTACCCAACCTTCCATATTTTTAATGTCTTTTTAAAAATGGATGTCTAGTTGACACATGATGTTGCATTAGTTTCAGATATACAACATAGTAATTCAACAAATTTATATGTTATGCTGTGCTCACCACAAGTGTAGCTACCATATGTCACCACACAAAGCTACTACAAGACTATTGACTAGTCAGTCTTCCATATTTTTAAGTTAGTTATTTCTCTGGGCTTGGCTGATCATCTTGTTGAGAGGCATAAGATGCTTGATGTTGCCTGAAACAATCTCCACTTTCAGCAGTGATTTAAGTTTAATGAGGAAGTATGAGGCTCCAAAGTGTGTGTCATCACATTTAAAATTGACTTCACAATAAAGAAGAAACAAAAATGAGAAAGAGGATGGGGATGGGAAAGAAAATAGAAAGGAATACTCAAATTAGGCACTAGGTGCTACTCATTCAACAAATATTTACCTACTTCTGTGATAGGAACTGGAGAGTATTTCCAGGTTTTCCTCTTAGAGATAACTGCTGTTCACATTGTTCAGGTTGTACACTACACAAGGATGGGGTTGTAGTCCACATATAGACATCCTTCTATTGAACTTTTAAAATTGTTTTATCCTAATTGCTCACTCCAAAAAAGGATGATTCGCATATTTTATGACAATTTTCTGGATTGTAACAGCAAGGAATTTTGCTCTAGTAAAGCCAGCAGAGTATGACCAATTTCCAACAGATGGATGTACAGCGTCTTATTACACAGATAAAATATGTATAATTATACTTTAATTATAAATTTTAATTTAATTATACTTGTAAAAGAGTAATGAGCTTAATAATCAAAAAAATTTGAGGCGCCTGGGTGGCTCAGTTGGTTAAGTATCTATCTTTGGCTCAGGTCACAGTTCTGGGCCTGAGTTGGGCTCCCTGCTCAGCAAGGAGCCTGCTTCTCTCTCTCTCTCCCCCTCTGCCCCTCCCACCTCTCATTCTCTCTCTCTCAAATAAATAAATAAAATCCTTTAAGAAAACCCTTTTGATCCAGTAACCTGAACTTTAAACAAGGAGCTTCTTATTGAATATCTTGGTGAAAATCCTTAAAAAAAAATCCTCTATTAGTTTTAGTAGACTGGCTTAATTGGGTATCATATGCTATAGTTTAGCTATAGTTTAGCTACCATCTGCTATTTGTTTCCTGGACCAGAATTATACTGCTAAATTACAAATTAATCTACAAGTTCTTACATTATGACACAAATTACTATGTAATGATACAATTTCCATTAATAATCTACAAAGTATGTTTTGCATAGATACCAATTAGAGATTAGCAATTTGTTAATTATAATTGGCTTTTTTTGTTACTATGGAAGTTTTGTAACAAAAGTTAACCTCTTAAAATCTGGGGACAAGTTATATAATATTTTAAAATATTACAAATTTTGGGAAAAGGTGCTATTTCCTCTTGGGAGCTGAAAAGAAAATTTAAATAAATTATTAATATCAGAAAACAAATCATTGGGAAATTTTTGGAAAAGATCAAAAAGAAATTTTGGTTGGTTAAATAAATGTTCCAGAGAAATAGGTGGAATGATAGGATGAAAAATTAAAGGACTTCAGAAACATAATTTTTAGCAGAATGGAGCATAGATTTGTCAGTAATGGAGGAGGATGTTAATTCCACTTCAGTGTCAATTCTAAATGACGAATTTCAAGAACAACTTGGAGAGGAAAAAAAAACAAAAGAATTTATTAAACTGAATATTCTATTTGCAGATTCAGGTTCATGGTCATCTAACTTGAATATGAAATAAAAGGACATGCCTCTCTTGTTGAAAAGTATCCAATTCTTGCAAGAAAGTTTAACAGCCCCCCCAAAAAACTATAGGTAAGAATATTTTAGAAATGATTATACTCAGGTTCTTCCAAATATTGGAAATGGTTAGATTATATTATTCTCATAGATTTTTTTTCTCTATTACAAATACTTGGGGGGTAGGAAAAAAATCCACTAATGAAAGAAAATGTGCAATGACTGTCAGCTTTTATTACATATTCTTAGTAAACATGAAAAAAGTAAAATGCACATTAACAGTAATGTAAGTATTCAAAATTGAAATCTTGTAGAAAAATTTTATAACTCTTGGTGCTGAGATTACTCAGAAAGAGAAAAATATTAGCATTCTATGATTGTCCTGTTAATATGCATGGTTCAGTTTTTGGCAAGGCTAGATCTAGCATCAGAGAATTATTCAAAAACCTTAATGAAACAATGGTGACTTGCTGTATTTTTAAGAAACTACAGCAGAATTTTATAATACCTTGGAAGACATATGCACAGAATACATATGCAACATATCATTCTTCTTAGGGGATGGGATACAAAGCCAAATTATAAAATTATAGCAGAATTGTTTGGATAATAAATGTAAAACCCAACTTAATTATTTTAGATACAATTCCTGATATATGCCAAATAGAGTAAAGAGCAATTATTATTAGATTTGTGGATTATAGAGATGCATGTATTTCCATATGTGAGTTCTTGGGTTGGAAATTTTCCATGTAAGTTAAATAACTAAAGACTTATGTACATTTCTTGTAGAATACACACCTTAAAAAAACAATTTTAAAGACAAAAATAATTTGAGAATCTTCATAGACCCCTCTGGGATTACCCTCATGTCTTAAGGACAAATAACATAAGTATATATAGAAGACAACAGATTGTACAAAAGAATCTATAATTCTTTTATCTGTGCATTCTTTAAACTTTAACAATACAGTTAAAAAATATTTTTGACACTATTAAATTTTAATTATCGTTTAAGAACTAATGAACTACTTTTCAACTTCAGCCAAACATTGAATTGTATTTATAACACATTTACTGAATACAGAAAAATCTTAAAAGCCTTCATCAAATATGTGATGGAGATGTCAACTGGTAACATTATGTCGCTAAAAACTGTGTTAGAAAGCAGAGTGCGGTGCTCTTTCGGAAATTGCTGATGATGTAATAAGAAATACCTAAATACCTAAATATATCGATAGATATATTAATGGTATAGACTTACAAAGAATAATAACATGCAGCAAATATAGATCAGAATAATACAAAATAGTAATATATAGCAATAGCGTCATAATATGACCATTACTACTAATATGAAATAATGATACAATAGGACTATGATTTTAAAAATTTTTTCAGTATTAGCAAACTATCACAGAGCAGCACTGAATAATAATGTATAGAATTGCTGAATCAGTAACACACCTGAACCTAACATAACACTGTAGGATAATGATGCTAGAATTAAAATGTTTAAAAAATTAAGAAGTTTAAAAAAAAAGAAAAAAGATTATTACAGCCCTTTTAGAGTTCTAGGTCAGGGGTTTGCAAAAGGATTAGATCATAAATATTTTAGACTTTGTGGGCCATATGGTCTGTTCAATTAATCAACTCTACCATTGTAGTATAAAAGCAGCCATAGATCCCACATAAGCAAATGAGTTTGGCTGTGTTCCAATATAATTTTATTTATGGATGCTGAAATTTTGGTTTCATAAAATTTTCATGTGTGATGCAATACTATTCTTTTAACATGGTTCTAATCATTTAAAAATGCAAGAGCCATTCTTAGCTCATGGGCTGCCCAAAAACAGATGGTGGATCAGATTCAGCTTGTGAGCCATTGTTTGCTAACTTCTGTTCTAGATGACATATATACTTTGAAAAATTGTAGAAATGAATTACTACAAGTACATACAAATTTACAATTGAAATTGACTTATGAACATGGTAAAGATGAACAGATGGGACATCATCGTGTAGCCTTAATTTACCCCAAAGACTTACCTGGTTCTCAGTTTATATTTAAATCCACCAGGGGCAGTGCAGAATTTATTCTCCAATCAAAAACTTATTAAACATGGTTTTAGGCCTTATGGTATTGCGAAAAATTAGTCTAACCAAGTGGCCATTTTTATGGAATGAAACATAGTTACAAATAAAGATTAAAATTGCTGTAATAAATTTATTTGCCAATAAAGCATGTTGTGTAATTATTTTAAACAAAGTACTAAATTGAAATTAGTTGGCATTCTTAATTTTTACATTTACAATTTTGAATTTTTTATTGTTTTACATTCAGTAATTTGATTTGTGAATTTAATGAAGAATGACTTCGCCTTTGTTGTAGTTACTATAAGAAATATATACTATACTGACTTAAATCTTTTACATGAAGAAGAGATGTCTTTTTCTAGTTTGTATGGAGGCTCTGTGTGGACTGAAGGTGATAGACCTTGTTGATAGGGGTGAAGAACTGCACCCATGACAGTCCTAAGGGAGAGAGATTACAAAGATGAACGAGACTTGGCTTCTGCCTCTCAGGAGCTTCTGAACTAGTCTGGAGCTGGATGTTTTGCAGTTCTAATATTTATTTATTTATTATTTATTTATTTTTAGTTCTAATATTTATTTAAAAGCAATACTCTGGTTACTGGTCGCCCTCCACCCCCATTGTTTTGTGGCAGTGGCTTAATGCCTGGGATTTTACTTTAAAATAGACAGCAGTATAAAAGAGGATGAAAAATGTAAGTCACTCAGTCTCAGAGTATGCTGTAATGTGTAAATGCTGCACTGTAAGTTTTTAATTGTTTATTCTACCTCCTATCATTAGCAGCATGAGGGTAAAGAGAAGCTTCACCGACCCTATTTGGATTAGCCTTATATTTTAAGGACAAAGATTAGTCAAGTTCACAACTTGTTATTTTTGACAGAACCTTTCAGCTCTATGATCAGCAAAAATGTAAACTGAAGATGTCTTTAAGTACAAAAAGAAATTCCTCAAAGCCAAAGCTCATTGGCTTTTAGACAAAAATATAAAATCCTCTAGAATTGTATCGTTGAACAAAACTTTTTTAAAAAAGTAAACTTTGAAACTCACGTAGACTGTTTGAAGATAAAAGAAGGGTTGTTTATGAGCCAGTGATGAAAGTGCGTAAAGGGCCACAGGTATTTCGCAATAGACTTCTGGAGATCTCATTAGAATTTGAAAGCACTGTGAAGAAAAGAAGTTCTTTAATGTAAAAGGTTGGCTGAGCTTTAGTGAGGTGAGTCACTTCTGGAAGCAAGGATCTGAGAGAAGTTCTTGCCCTGGTGGTGGTGTGTAGACTGACAGGAGTCAGTACTGTATGTCAATCTAGTTATGGGTTCTTATTATAAACCTTTGAAAGCATGAGTATATAAAAGGCAGAGACCCAATGCAACCATCCCTTTTAAATCTTTTACATGACCTCTGTATTTTTCTGTATATTTGAAAGATTTTTTTTTCTGTTTCGGAATTTGAATGATAAATAACTCAATGATAGAATATCTAGTCTGACAATTGGTCCGTAGGTATCTTAGCTCTATGTCAGTAAATTCATTTTCATATAATATGATGGACTTGCTAACTCTTACAGGAGTAAAGACCAATGTGTACTAAGCAAAGTAGATGTTATTTGGCTTTTCTTCCCATAGAAATGCCATAAACTATTCTTAAAATATGTTCTTCTATAAAACTCCACATAATTGCAAAAGGAAATGCTGAAATAAAGCTAAAGGATGGAATAAAATAGAAAATGAATAAACATTTAACATCAAAATAGTAAATTGAGTATACTACTGATAGGATTTATTTAAAAACTGGTTCTAAATGATAAGAAAAGAGAAAATATTAGTTGAGATTAGGAATATAAAAGATCATTTTAAGATGTACTTTAAATCATTTCTTCATTACCATTCCCCAGTTTATTAATTAATTTGGTATCAAGTTAAGTGATTAATTATAAATTTGATAACAAAACAAATAAGCACAAGAAATAAGGAACACAAACTAGAGAAAAAGAAAATTGACAACTGTTCCTGAATATTGTAAAACTGTCAATTCCAAGTTTTCAAAATTTCCAAATATATGTTCTTTGGAAAATACACTTTTCTAAAATGTTACCTGATTTTTTTTAAATAAAACGTATAGTTTTGAAAATAAAATATAGTTTTAAATTTAAACCTATGAACAGTATCAAATTATAAAAGAAAAAGGAAACTTACAGGTAAATATTAAGGATAAAATGAAACTGCAGAAAAGTTAGCAAGCAAAATATAGTCATATAGAAGATGAATAATATCCTCTATTTGAATGGAGGTACTGCAATAAACTGAGGCTCCTGTGTGACAAAGATAATGGCTATCGATTAACAAGAGAGAAAACAAAAGTCCACAATTGGAGTTTAGTTGAACTGAGGAAGGTTTTCGATAAAATTTGCCATCTTTTCTTGATTAAGTTACTATGCACACAAAATAGTTTTTAATAGTATGTTTTTCAAATGGAGAAATATTACATTCACTTCAGAAATACTGAAGCTGTTTCCTTGAACCAGGAGCAAGATGAGGATCTGTCCTGCCACCATTGCTATTTAGCATAACATTCATTTCATCCATTTCCAATTTAACTTTTTGAAAACGGAATCATACATAAAAATAAGGAGAAAAATATTTTAGAAATAACTTTCTTATAAAAATACACATATAAATTAGAAAGTCATAGAAATTATGGAATTAACCAACACTATTCAAAGTAACAAATAAATTTAGCAAATTTTCAGATTGGAAGGGAGCTCTGGAAGCATTGCACATTAATTACTATTTAGCTATTACTTAATTTTATATATAAAGATAAAAATATTAAGTATGTGGGTATTAATCTTGGCACCTCGAGATTTATAAGATTATAAGCCCCAACGAGAAAAACAGAGTCTGAACTGAAGGTTTAAAGGCTAGTTTGCATAGGTGGCCTATACTCCTGGCTCCTGAAACCCACTCATATATGGTTTCAGAGC